TCACCATCATCTTCCTCGACATGGATTTGGATCATTTGAAACATATGCCAATCCTGCAATGGCATCATTGTATTCAGATTCATCATTAGTAAAGCCTGAAAGCAAAGAGAAATTTGGATAAGTAATAGCCTATGAAGAAAGCATATATATGCAAGGAAGATTTTTTTTTTGTTTTTTTTTTTAGCATATTAATGGCATCAATAAGAGTTGCATCAAGTTTAAAAGATGATAATATGGTAACATGGGTTACTGAATTGTAAAGACTAGAAAACTAATTAGCATGATAACAAATATTTTAGAGAATATAAAAGAGTTTGTTATTCCCTACTTTCATGTAGCCACAAGCTGAGCTACTAGAAAGCTGACTTATCCTACTCATAGATGAATGAAGCAGAGAGAAGCTCCACTGTCCAATTAGCCAAAGTGCTTCCCAAGGCGAGAGTACTGGTCATGTCAAATAGAGGTTCATCCTTAGGATCAATAATACTCAGGTTTCCCCATGTCCTAGGTTTGCCTCCTCATTCATTGAATCTAGATCCGCATGTCTTGTGTGTAAGTCTACTTCAACATCATATCTTGGTGAGCTTATAAAAGCATGTTGAGGCCACCTTCTAGATGGATGATGCATTGCTCTAAAGAGAGAGAAAACATAGGGAGACTGCCATGCTTAATTTTTTTTTTTTTGAAGTAGTTAATGAAGCCTACCTCCAAATAGAAAGTAAAAGAAAAATAAACAAGGTCAAATAATGTTAGAAGTCATCCTATAATTTTGCATGATTTAGTGCTTCAACAATTGCTATATGGATTCACACATTATCGATTTCCAATCCTCAAGGAGCCCTAGATGAAGCAAAATATCTTTGAACGCATTGAGATTTCCATCAAACTCAAAGGGCTGCAGAAAAAAACACTTAAAAGCAATTCAACATGCATTACAAAGATGGTCATTCATTACAAAGTAGAAGCCTAGTACATCACATTAAGTACATCAACATGGTAGCATTCAAGTCCCTAGTAAAATTTGACTCCTAGATCTTTCAAAGTACAATTGTTTAATGAGTAGTTGCATTCCTTTCCTTGGAGAATCCCTTGATTGCTAGAGCCACATAAAGTGTGATGTGCTTGAGCTTTTGATCTTCAAAGCTACTCTTGGTTCTTGTGCATCTAAGCTTGCCCCCTGAACTTGGCAATTGTCAATGATGGGAGAGAAATGCTTGCAGTTAGAGATCTCCTCAATCCTTTGTTGGTCAAAGCTTTCTTCAGAGATGAATATTTCAAAAGATGTCTTGACTAACGAAGAATCGTGCTTGACCATGTATGAATCCATATTTCAATTGTTGCAGGCAGAGAATCAAACAAGCTTACGAGAGTGCAAAAGAAGAAATAAACATGGATGCCAAACAAGAAATAAAGGATGTAGGAACATAAATATGCTCTAAAGTGATCATGTGTGTGAAATTGTATCCTAAAACATTGATTTTTTTTTTCTTTTTGTTTTTTTTTTTCTTTTGGAATGCAAGAAAAGAAATAAATGTGGATGGAAAACGAAAGATAAAGGATGTAGAAAAATAAATATGTCTAAAAGTGGTAATTGTGAGAAGTTGTGAAGTTGACCCTAAAACATGAAATTTTGGGAATGCAAGAAAAGAAATAAATGTGGATGGAAAACAAGAGATAAGGGATGCAGGAATATAAATATGCTAACAAGTATGTGAAGTTGTATCCTAAACATGGTTTTTCTTCATTAAGAATGCTAAGCAAGTTTCAAAGGAGAAGTTGATGATTCACTATTGCAGCCATTAAGTTAGCATTCATAGGAAATATTGTTCCTTTGAAAAAGAGCAAATGTCATGAAGCTAGAAGAAAAAGTGAATGGCGTGATGCTTGGAGAAAATGAATGATATGATCCTCTAAAGTTATGTGCTTAAATTATTTTGATGTCTAAAAGATGAATTTATCTTTGAAGAACCTTTTTTTTTTTTTTTTCAAATGTGAAATGCTTTGGTTTTAGTTGAATAAGGCCCACAAGTTTGAAACATGCAAGTATAAATTTCTTGTAGAAAAATGCAAGATGGTGAGAACTTTGAATGAGAGTTTGGACAATTTTTTTTGTTGAAAATCATGACTTGAAGGACTTGACTGAAGAACAAGAAAATATGAGGATCAAATTTAATTTTATTCTAAACATGAAATGAGCATGAGATGAATGTCAATTTGACATGGGATGGAAAATGTGATGTAAGGTTGAATATGGGTTGCAATGAAAAATGGGATTGAAAATGTAATGTGAATTGAACATGGATAAGATTTTCATTGTTATGCAATTTTTATAAAATACGAGATATTTGAAAAAAATGAGATAGAGATAGTAATGCTTGAAATGAAATGTGAGATGGAAAATGCAATGCAAAATGCAAGTGAATGAAATTTTCATTTTCATTTTTAGGCATTTGATTTTGAACTATGAAATGGAAATAGTGATGGTTGGAATGAAATATGTGATGAAAAATGGAATGTGAAATGAACATGGAAGAAAGTTTCATTTTTTATGCAATTTAATTTTTTTTTTTTTTTTTTATAAAATTTGAGAAAGATGAGATGAAGAAACATGAGAAGGAAACTAACAACATGAAACGAAGATAGATAAAATTTTTATTTTTTGCATTTTTCATCATTTTTTTTTTTATTTTTGTATGCAACTTTTATGAAATAAGGGAAATATGAGGGAGAGAGTAATGCTTGGAATAAAAACTTGAGATAGAAAATGTAATTGAAATGGATGTGAATGAGATTTTTTTTTAATATATTTTTGTTCAATTTATATAGGTTAAAACCCCATTTTGGTCCCTCAACT